TAGGAGAAACATATAAAGAAGCATAGTAGAAGAAACAAGAGTACGGTAGAAGAAACATAATAAGAAACATAGTAGAAGAAGCACACAAGAGAAAAAGAAAATCAGAGAAACATCTAAATAACTCAAAAACCCTAGATCGGAAAAATAAAGGTTTTGAAAGCATAGTTTTGAAAGAAATATCAAGAAGTCGTTTATAAGTTTTAGGGAAAACACGGATCTAGATCAGATCTAAATAACTCAGAAGAACCTCAAAAACTACGGTTTCAGAGGAACCCAAATGGTGAGAAAGGCTTGGATAGTCGTTGATCTAAGCAGGAGGAGTAGAGGTCATGCTCGAAACAGACATGGCTTGCCGGAGCAAGGCCGGAGATGCCATAAAACTTGAATCAAGCAATGTCTGGATGAAGCTTCTTCGTGGTCAAGCCATGAAACTTCAGCAACCAAGCGTACAGGAACCATAGAAGGCTGGTAGGTGGTGAGACCACCATAGATTCAGGCCAGGAGGTGGCCGGAGAAGGCGAGTGAAGCTCATCGGAGCGGAGGGGAAAGGGGAAGGTTCTAGAGAGAACCAGAGATAGAGAGATAGAGATGAGAGTCGGTTGAGTGAGGAATGAGAGGGGTTTGGGGGGTCGTTTGTTTAATTTGGTAAGAAAGGATCTGGACCGTTGATCAAAATTGATCAACGGCCAAGATTTAATCGGATTGGGTCGGGTAGATTTAGTGATTGGGCTTGGGTCTTTAGGCTGGTTTAATTAGGGGATATGGGCTGGTTTAATTAGGCTAGATTAGAAAGCCAAATCTGGCTATAAGTTAAATAGCCCTTTTTCCCATTTAATTTATAGAAAATAGTAAATAAATTTCTGAAAACAAATTGAAAGCACTAAAATTATTTATAATATATAATTATCAATTTAAAAATATGAAATCCCATTTTATAAACATGAGACGAATTTAAACCTAAAAATGGCTAATATTGCAATTATGCAATTTTATCCTTAAAAATACTAAATAAATTTGCAAAAAATATGTAAAAACAATATCTTAGTTATATTTTAGTATAACATGAGAATCAAATAATGAATCACCAAAAAATGATAATTTTGGAGATAATTATTGATTTTTCTTGATAAAATAGGGCAGTAAATTGATTTAAAAATCTTCGAAAAATTAAGGAAAAATAATGAAACCTTGGGATATGCTTATATATGCATATATAGACCGTTTTGAAGGTATTTTGCATATTTAAGAAAGATACAGGGAAAAAATTGGGTATCAACAATATCTTGTATTTCCTTTAACCTCAGTAGGGCCCTGACCTTCCTCGTCACTACCCGACCGAGGCTAGGCTTGGCACTAACTGAGTACCGCTGTGGTGTACTCATGCCCTTCCTGCGCATGTTTTTCATGTGCAGATCCAGGTACTGCGACTCAGACTTACAACGCATGAGGCGAGGCGCTTGTAGAGACTCCGAGGTATATCTGCCGCGTCCGTAGACCGAAGAGTCCCTTTCTACTCTTGCTTTAAGTATTAGCCCTTCTGTATTTCCTTTCTTGTTAGATATTCTGGAGTTAGATACTATTAGACATTCAAAAGCTTGTGATCATGAGATTCTGGATTTTGGAAAATGTTATTAGTTTCGAGAGTTTATATTGTGTATGCCGAGCGGCATTTCAAACACTGTTTTATTTTACTATTTCGGTTTTTCAGTTATTTCTTCCGCAAATGTTGTTATTTTACGCATTGTTAGGCTTACCTAGTCATAGAGATTAGGTGCCGTCACGATGGTTCACGGAGGGCGAACCGGGATCGTGACAACAATAATGAGGTCTAACGGTTGCGCAATTTTATTCCTATAAATCAGCTAAATGCAGTAACTTCACATTAATTACCTTTCAGCATTTTTAGGACTACAACTAAAACTAAGCAACGAAACATGGGAAGGATTGAGAGATCCATTAATTAATTGATTATATTTCTGTCAGGAATGTAGTTAATTAGCTGCCAGTTTTGTTAATTGCTTATTCCTGCTAAGATTCTGAATTTTTTTCTTAAATATTGACTAATCATGTTTTTTCCCCAATTAAATAATGCTAACAAAAATCCAAACTAAAATTAAATCAATACTAATGCTAACAAAAGACATTCAATTCAATAGTCAATATTACGAACGGGAATGTATTGAATATCTATTTTTTATTTTGCAATAATTTAGGTAAAAATGCATAACCTATTTTTATCTTTTCTTTAGCGTTTAATCATGTAATTAATACTCCTTTATTAGTCTACTTACTTTAGCATGACTTAGTGCTTTTAGATTATGTTTATTTTTATTATGGTTTTTTAATTAGCAATATTTATATTACATAATTTTATTGTTTTTATTATTGAATATCTTAGGATAATGCCATGACACATGTCATATTTTGTATTATTTTCTTGGAAGATACTTTATATAGTTATATCTTACTAGGATTAAAGAAATATTTTTAGCACAAGTTATATGTTTTGTTCTACGAAGATTTTACCAGAAAAAAACTCGAATAACCCGAAAACCCGAGAAAACTCGAGAAAAACCGAGATTAAAAAACCCGAGTTTTATTGGTTTGGTTTGGTCTTTAGATTTAATAACCCGACAAAATTGATTTGGTGTGGTAATCATAAAATCCGAACCAACCCGACCTATGTACACCCCTATTTTTACATAGCTGTACAAAATTAGAAACTTTATTACCAAAAAAATATCCATGTTTACTAAATTACCCAACCTATCCAAGCTTTGTCTAAAAAATATATACATTTATTTAAAGTAGAATCTTTTCTACAGTAGCCTTCCTTTTTAGATGCGGGAATCTGGGATCACTCCGGATTCTTCGGATATTTTACAGACGCAATCTTCACAATTTAATTAAGCCTGCCATTACACCTATTTTCTGTCATTACCATTGCACAATAAAGTTCAGTTCTCTGTTTTCTCTGTCTCCTCTCGTTTCAAAACCATAAGCAAAGGTTTAGAAAAATAATTGCAAACAATTATCCTGAATTGTATTGAATTCCGCGATATAATGTCAAATTTAGCTATTATGCTTCAGCTAAATAGTCATTGGGATAGCATTGGGAGACACAACGATTTTAATGTTGATGGAATTGTAGTGCGCGAGGATTCAAATTACAGTCAGTTGATTTCTGCAATTGCAGAGCATCTAATGATCGATACCTTCGAAAAAATCATCGAAATCAAATACATTGTCAATGAACATTGTCCTCCAACGGAAATTAGGAACGATATGGGAGTTCGAGTATACATGGAAACGAAAAAGGAAAACAAAAGCTTTGAAATGTATCCGCTGTATATAACAGTGCGTGATTTCCATTTGGATTGCAGTATGTCTAGTTCGAGCACAAATGCAGGTTTGCTCTGTATTTTTAGTGGTGATGTTTTGTCAGTTCCATGTTTAACACAATTATTCTACACAATATCTACAATTATACTACAATAACAAATGTGGTTCAACTGCTATGACTATTGAAGTACTTAATTTCAATTGTTCTATAATTTTACTACAAATTAGCTACAATATATTTCCTGAATTGTATATACTTTTAATTGAGTACAGGTTCATCGGGAACAATGAAGTTGATTGATAGGCCGATCTCTCCAAAGATTGTGGAATATGAAAGTATCATCATAACAGAACATACTCCAAATGTTATTGAAGTAGGCCAAGTTTACAAGACAAGCAAACAATTGTCAATGCAATGAAGCACTATTCTGTCATGAATAAGTTCCAATTTAGGGTGAAGAGATCTAGCGCAAGAAGGTATGAACAGTTCAATTGTCAAATTCATATTTTTGTTTAATTTGTAGTATTTATGTTTTTTTGCCATGTACAGTTTGTACTTTCTTTGTATATAATTTATGCATAATTTGTAGTTTTCTTGTAAATAACTTGTTTAATATAAGATGTTTTTGCTTAATTATCCTATTATTTTGTAGATACATTTTTCATAATAATTTTTAAATTATTTTTATTATGTAGCTACTGCCTGATATGTGTTAGGGACAATTGTACATGGCACTTCAAGTCCACCAGCATAAACGAATCAGCATTGTTCAAGGTTCAAAAATTCTACAGCTTGCACACATGCTCTTTGATGGACAACACAAACATACAACGAAAACCTACTGCCATGGCAGTTGGCAGCATGGTGATGCAAAAATATGTGGATCCTAAGACAATATACGCACTAAAGGACATACAAACTGATATGTTGTTGGATCATGGTGTGAACTTAACATACATGCAAGCTTGGAGAGCAAAGGAAAAGGCTTTGGAATTTTTGAGAGGTCATCCTGCTGATTCCTACAGTCGCTTGCCAAGTTATTTGTATATTCTGGAGAAGACTTATTCGGGGACGGTAGTTAAATTGAAGAAGGCCGAAGATGATTGTTTCTTGTACGCATTTGTTGCGCTTAGTACTTCCATCAAGGGTTGGGAGTATTGTAGGCCAGTTGTAGTAGTTGATAGCACCTTCTTGAAGTCGGATATAGGGGAATAGTGTTAACAACTAGCGCAACGGATGCAGCAGGTATTGTAGATTAATTGTAGAAATATTAATGTAAATTTGTTTTCAGTATGTTATTTTTATACTATCAAGTTTTATTACAGAAATTGATTTTCTTTTTGCCACATGTGTGATTGGTAGCATATTACCAATGGCATACGCTGTTGTTGATTCAGAAAATGATGCAGCATGGAATTAGTTTTTTGAGCGATTCAAAGATGCGTATGGTGAAAAACAAAACATGTGTGTTGTTTCGGACCGGAAAGAGAGTATCTTGAAGGCAACATCTACTGTTTATACCAGCATTCCATATTATGCCTGCATGTGGCATATTTGGACAAATGTAAGCTCAAGGTTCAAGAAGGGTCATCTAAAGTTAAGCGAATTGTACTTTGCCACGGCATGATCATACACAATTGATGGACTCAATGAAAGAATGTCAAAGATTGAAGAGATCGACCCGCGTGTTAAAGCATACCTATACGATATTGGCTATCACAGATGGTCTCCGGTACATGCTACACTTAATGGAACGTGGACGATAACATCAAACATTGCAGAGTCATTGAATGCTGTAACAAAAGATGCAAGAGAGATGCCCGTAGTAGAACTATTAGAGTACATGAGGACTCTTCTTGAAAGTTGGAATAATGAAAAGTTATCGAAAGCAAAGGGTACATTCACGTACCTTGGGAAACAATATAACAAAGAGTTGGAGGACAACAGGACATTATAGCAGAAGATGAGAGTAAGCTATATCTAGTAACATCGATCAACGATTCTATAAAACTAAATATATACTGCTAATTGTAGATAACTTGTTGAAAAATTATAGTTATTTTGTACATGTTGCTGAAAATTTGTTGTGTGTTTGTAATGAAAATGTAGGTGAGGGCTTCCACAGAACACATCCATACAGTGATAGATGGTGTGAAGCGCTTTATTGTTTGCCTTCAAAATAAGAGATGTAGTTGTGGACAGTTCCAACTTGACGAACTTCCTTGTCCACATGCTTTGGCGGCCTTGAGGCACAGGGATGAGTCTTATGAAAACTATTGTTCTCCTTATAACACGAGGGAGAGTCTTTCGAAGACTTATGAAATAGCAGTAGACCCGCTGCCTGACGAAAGCAAATGGAATGTGCCACAACATGTAGCTGAAGAAGTTGTAAAGCCACCAACAGGGAAAAGACAACCAGGGAGACCTCAGAAACAAAGATACAAACCATATGATGAAGTAAAAGCAAAGATGTACAAGGTTTCATGTGAAAACTGCAGGCTAGAAGAGCATAACAAAAGATCTTGTAAGAATGCTCCCAAAACCAAATAAAAAGTGATAAAGTAACTAACATTTTTTGATAGATTGTGTTGAGGTGTTCTGGAGAATTATAGTTGAGTTGTAATTGTGTTGATAAATTGAATATAGACTGTCTCCTATAATATTTTCAACTCTTAGTGCAATTGGTTTGTAGTTGTTTTGTCCAACTACATTTCTTCAGCCAAACAGCCTTAGGGTGGATTCATCACAGCAACATTAAGAGAATGGGAACGACATTCCCAATTTTCGCAAACTCACATATAAGATCAGCAGGTGTTACAGCACTCTTAGACAGACTAATCAAATGAGGAACATCTGCAAATCCGAACCCTAGGGACATCAATATCTCCCCAGCCCACTGCCTTAATACATAATGACACTTCATTATTGTAGTTAAGTTGTAAAGAAATTATATGCTAAAAATAATGAAACAAAAGGTAACAACACAAAACAGAAGTAGTAGAATCAAGTACTAACAACTTTGAACCAAAAAAGGCTCTCCATAGTGTTTTCCATTCTAAGTAGCAGTTTCCTGGACAAAATAACAAAACAAAAGGTAAAAAAATGTAGCACAAGTCTACTACAAATAAGTTTCAACTGACTTGTTCTTAGTTAACAATTTGTCTATAACTTTACTACAAACCAGCTACACTAAACAATTTAACTACAACTTTTCTACATAAAAGAGCAACTAATTCTTCTTCTTCTTCCGGACTTGTGTTCTCTCGTTCACAGTTGGTACACCTTTTCTTCTTGCTAATCTGCCAGTCACCTCACTCTCACTAATTGCACCAATCTCTTATTTTTTCCTAGCATAATCCCAAAGCAGCGCTCCATAGCGTCTATGGTATTGATCAATATCAGAAAGGCCTTGAAATCGATAGCTCTCCAATGCTGACATATTCAGCAAATGCCGCAACATATATACCACAGTCACTGTAAAAAGAAATTAGGGGAGAAGATTTAGCATTCAGTGTAAAATAAAATCTGTTAAATAAATACAAGGAAAAATAACTTTTTCATACAGTGATCCCTCTTTTTGCTGGGGTATCTCACCGACCAACCACTGAATGTCAAGAGGGTCAGTAACACCTTTTTCAATGTATGCCTTTGTGTTCTTGTAGTTGATGTCTAAACGCTTGCCATAGAAGCCAGTGCATGACAAGTAGAGGGGGATCATAACAGCAAACTTGTTGACAACAGTTTCAACAATGATGTGATTGTGTGAAGATACCATAGAATCATAAACATATAGAACCTTATCGGTAATGTCAAACACAACCAACAACCAATAAAATTTCTCCACTATTTTTATGGACATAATGACAAAATCAACTTGATCCCATGCAACATTTGCAAGTAGCTAGTAACCCAATATGTATTCTGATATGATGTCCTGGGGTTTGACAGCAGCAAGCTTCTTATCGGTAGGAGCATTAATGTACCTTTGATAAATTTGTTCAATTCTAGTCTTGAACATACAGTCAGTGGTTGTAAACCGTGTTTTGTTTTGAGGACCATACTTTCCTCTCCTCCTCAAATAGTATAAAATAACATCAATGTGCTGCAAAATAAAAAATAGAGTTCACTATTTCACACTACTTCATACAAATTTATTACAATTTTTAAACAAAAAAAGTACAATATTCTTATATAATAGAATACTACAGCTAATCATTAAATTCTGCCAGGGTATGTGTTTACCGTGTCATTGAGGACTTGTCCGGGATGTGCCAAAGTATAAAACCACTCCTTTTTATCAACTTTGTACACTTCAAGATCAAACCACCTTAAGCCGGTTATCTTTTATAGAATAAGGTGCCTTCCTCCTATTTAAACACATAGTAATTACAATAAATATGTAGATTCAACTGGAAATCCAAAAATTGAATGCACTTGAAAACATGAAACTTTTTATAATCTAACCTCTTTGAAACCTATTGGTACCAAAGTATAACCACTTATTGAATTCTTCCAACAAGTCAGGATCAACATCGTCGCTAATAACCCCAGTAAATGGATGCTTGATGAGGAAAATTGGAGGTCCAACAGAAATGCTTCCCCTAGAACTGTACAAAGGGAGGAAAGGGGATCTGGCATGCTCTCCAGGCTGCTTTGTTCTTCCTTGATACACAGGGGTTGTTTCATCTTTGATAGGCTCGCCGAACTTAACAATTTGGGAGAAGTTCTCTGGCAGCTCAAAATCATCGAGTGTTACTTCCCTTTTTTCAGATCTGCAGTCGTCTGAATCACCTACATTAATGTAGTCGGCTGGTTCACCTCCAAAATTTTAAAAAAAAAGTGGATAAAAGACATGTTGCATCAGTTGTTTATGGAAAGTTGAAACAAATTGTCAAAACCTGTTTTTTTCCTACAATTATAATGTATCATTAATGTAGTCGGCTGGTTCACCTCCACTGAAATGTTCACAGCAATCGTTTCCCTGTTGTATAACGTTTTCTTGTTGAATGGGAGATTGCATTTTTGTAGTCTCCTTCTCCTCATTCAATTGGTCTCCTGGAATGCCAATATTAGCTTCCTGTTTTGGAGAGCCAACATGCATAGTTTCCTTCTCTGTTACAATAAATGCGTACAACTTAGTTAAATTAGAGATAATTTGTAGTAAATATTAAGATTAAGGTAGTTAAATTGTAGTTTAACTGTAGTAAATTTGTAGAAATGTTGTCCTGCATCTGATATGAAAAATGTATTGTGAAATATGATGATAATATGTACTAAATCGTAACTGCATTTTTTTATTAAGTGCCCCTTCAAATTGGGAAGACAAATCAACACCTACAGGAACATTCTCCTCAATTTCAATGTCATCCAGGTGTCTTATATCTAAGAAAACCATTGGAAATATAATGTAGATTAGTTGTTGGTAATTTCGGATATATGTAGATATAATGTAGGGATAATGTAGATACCTGTTTTACTTCTTTTGGTCAATGCTGGTTTAGCACTACTGCCCGAAATGTGTTGATTGTTCTTTTCTTTGCAATGCTCAATTATTTTTCGTAGAACTGCCAGTAAACTGCAAGCATAAAATTCCTTGTCCACTCTTTCCAGTATTTTTCGAAAAACAGCTTTGTTAGGCGATATACTTTATGAATGATAATATAAACTTAGAAATTGTAAAAGATTTTGTCTAAAATGACTATATTACGAATGAAACCTTAGCATCAATATTATCCTTTTGAGTGTTTATCGCCTCTAGAACAACCTTGATTGAATCTTTCAGTAGCAGTTTAATGCTACCTAGTTTTTTTAAAAACATATGTCTTAAAAGTTCCAAGGTTTGAGCGAACCTACATATTAAAATAGAAAGAGTTAACGAAATAATTTGCATAACACAAATTAAAGAAGTCATCTACGTAACGACCCGACCAGTCGTTTTGAGCTCTGGCTCGTCGTTCGGCAATTTGGGGCCATGAGCAGCTCCACATCAGGTATTATGACTTGTACGCATGGTCGGAATTGAATTCCGGGAAGTTCGGAGTTGATTTGGAAAGAGAATTCACATTTCGGAAGCTTTAAGTTGGAGGAATTGACAAGGATTGGACTTTGAAGTAAATGACCTCGGAACCGGGATTTGAAGGTTCCAGCAATTTCGTATGATAATTTCGGACTTGGGCGTATGCCCGGATCAGGTTTTGGGTGACCCGGGAGCATTTTGGCGCCTATAGCGGAAGTTAGCATTTTGGAAGAATTTCATAAACTTGGGTTGAAGTGCATTTCAAGGTTATCAAAGCCGTTTGGGATTCCGAGTCTGGGAATAGCTCCGTATGGTGATTCTGGTATTGGGAGCGCGACGAAAGTGGATTTGGAGGTCCGTAGGTCATTTTGGAGTCATTTGGCGAAAGTTAGAAATTTGAAGGTTTTTGAGAAGTTTGACCGGAGGTGGACTTTTTGATATCGGGGTCGGATTTCGATTATGGAAGTTGGAATAGGTCCGGAATGTCGAATATGAATTGAGTGCAAAATTTGAGGTCAATCGGACGTGATTTGATAGGTTTCGGCATCGAATGTTGAAGTTTGAAGTTCTAATGTTCACTAAGCTTGGATTGAGGGCGATTCATGGTTTAAGCGTTGTTTGATGTGATTTGAGGCCTCGAGCAGGTCCGCATTATATTTTGGGACTGGTTGGTATGAATAGACGGGGTCCTGGGAGCCTCGGGTGGAATCTGGGTGCTCAACGGATCAAAATGGAACATAAGGAATGGCAGAAGTGCACCAGTTCTGGTGTAATCACACCTGCGCAAGTTTAACTGCAGGTGCGCGATCGCAGAAGCGAGAGAATGGTCGCAGTTGCAGAATTTTACCCGCAGATGCGGGTGCGCATCTGCGCTGAGGAGACCGCAGAAGCGGATTTTGGACTTAAGCCTGGGACCGCAGAAGCAGCTCATGCGCCGCAGAAGCGGTCTATGCACCTGCGGTGCGAAAATGCTGGAGACAGTAAGGTATCTTTAAAACGGGGGTTTAGCCCATTATCTTCGATTTTACTCTTGTTTGGACGATTTTTGGAGAGCTTCAAGTGGGGATTTTTATCATCAACGACAAGGTAAGCTATCCCCACCTATCTTGAGTTAAATACATTGATTATATATAGGTTTTAGCATGAAAATTGGTAGAAATTTGGGAGTTTGAGGAAAATCTAGAAAATTGGTATTCTTGGATTTTGACCACGATTTTGGACATGAAATTGAGAGTAAATTATATATTTGAGTTCGTGAGGTTATGGGCAAACTTTATCTTCGAAATTTTTTGGAATCCGGGCACGTGAGCCCGAGGGCGTTTTTATCAACTTTTCGTTCGGGGTTAGAAATTGTTATAAATTGGATTATTATGAGTAATTGAACATGTACTAATGGGTTTAGATAATTATTGGCTAGTTTGGGAATGTTGTGCATCAATTTGAGTCTTCGGAAGGGCGCGGAATGCCGGTTATGGAACTTCGGAGCGAGGTGAGTCTCCTTTCTAACCTTGTAAGAGGGAATTGTCCCCATAGG